TCTATCCTCTATTACTATACGTACCGTTATTCTTACTCTATCCCCTATTACTATATGGGCTGCTATTCTCTATTCATTATACTATTTCTCTATTCAGATCACTATACGATGATTACTATTAGAGCGAGTATTAGAAAGCAAGTACTATTAGTGCTAGTGATATTCGAAGGCGTCTGACACCAGTATTGTTCAACGGCGTTACTATAGTTGTATCTGCGATTACAAAGACTCTACTACAACGAGTATTACGAAAGTAACAACGAGTATTCGTTGGCATCACAAAGGGACAACACGTGTTCTAATTTTTTGGAGATAATAATGATTTACTGACACAAGTCCTACTAATTAACCCATAGCTGAGGAGGGGGAGGAGAAGTGAATTTTTAAAACGAACCCGACTGGAAAAACTTTGGCTCGTAGCACATTGTTATATAGTCAATTGTATGGCTTAACAGAAAGTCATGGTTTTAGGATAAAAAAAAACGTTCATTTTACACATGGTCAAATGAAAGCAAAGAATTAAATTATTATACGTAAGTATATATTATGTTTCTTTAACAATAAGAATGTATAGAAACTGATCAACTAGTCGCAGAAGAGTCGAAAAGGAGAAAACTTAACTCGAATTTTACTGCCTGTCTCTATTTCTGAGATGAGGTATTGTAATTATTTATACTATTTATATTGTTCGGACTGTTTTTCTCATCTTTGTTGCCATATTCAGGTGATTAGAATTTCGAACTGAACCCTTTATTTTGACTACCTGGGTAGATTGTTCGAGTTCAGTACCTGGTTGCTGCAGTGGTGAACAAAAACTTGGAGAGATGAGTTAGAGATTACTGAGACACCCGAAGGAGGCGTGGCCCGTGGAACTAGAACAGTCTGCCCCGGTGGACAAAACAAAGGGTTCAATTCGAAATTCCAATCACCTGAAAAGAGACGGAGCGTACAACGGCCGAAACGTCGTGAATATGGCAACAAAGATGAGGACAACATTCCGAACAATGTAAATAGTGTAAATTATTCTAGTGCCCCACTGTTGTAAAGGCGGTCAGACGATATAAAACATTGTGTGATGTTGCCTTTTCGCTTCAACCAAAACTCACAACTACGGTGACAGAATCTCGAGTTGCAATCTTTCCAAATCCTTCCAAGTGACGAAGATCATCACCAGCCTGAAGAGTTTAACTAGCACAGCTGGAGACGAATCTGAGACTGCAGGATATCTACCAACCGCCCCACTCGGTCAGATGTGGCAGAAGGTCGAATTTAATGTGGGGTATCCGAGCTCGGCCAAACATTCCCCGTAGACCCCGTATAAAACCATGCCGGGTAGCTGTTTCCCGAGACGAGACGCTGCCCTTCGTCATAGCCTCGTCTGGGGATCCTCTCTGCTCGAAGGGAGAGAGGTTGACCAGCACAGCTGGAGACGAATCTCTAACTGCAGGATATTTATTGTATGTAAAATACGATTGTGGCACAAGGCCAAAATAACGAATCTCCAACTGCAGAGCAACATACAGTATTTACTAATGTATTTATGTGAATGGGGACATACCCATTATCATCTGTAGGTATGTTACAACCACTAACTACATTGAATGGAAAACATATTCAAACCAGAATTTTAATTATGAATCACTACAAGCAAAATATGCATTTTTTTAATGTATTCGCTAAGTAAAAACTGTATAAAAAATTGTAAAAGATTAAAAAAATGGCTGTCAATGAATAAGATTTTTAGATCATTTGTTAGATCATAATTAATAAAAAGAAAAAATAGATAAAAGTGTATATAACACCATAATCCTGATAAAATCTTTTAAATTTTCATTGTTTATTGAAAAGCACACTAAAACTACAGGACTGTATAACATATGACATTATAATATAGCTAAACTCTTCAGTATAATTTCTCTTTGAAGCAAATAAAGATCTTATTTGATGGTACAATGATTTATTAATGATGTTCATCTTGTCCATGTTAAATTTGTAAAGCTTCAGCGAATTATAAATTTTATAAGGCTTTCACTCTTCACCGGAATTAAATTCCAACGCTACGATTTTGAACGTAAACTTAATCTTTAAACTAAAAAAAACTGTAACGATTTGGTAAAAACTATTTTGTGCCATTTATCCAGTCAAATCTCAATATTACAGTTCCAAAAATCGACCTGCTCCGTTGTACATATACATGCTTACTAGATGCGGTGATATGTGTGTTTTATGTTGTAGTTTTGTTGAAGTTATTTTTTGGAATACAGTTTGATTTAAGAAATTGTAGGATATTATATGGCTTATTTTTTTAATGTTCTTTCATATTGGTTGTTTGGTAGTATCTTAAACGGATTTAGGTGAAGTCGCAACAATTTGTTAATATGTGCATTTTGTTGGTAATTTTACTATAAATAGGTATTGTTGGTATTTTGGCCATAAAAAATTATTTTTATACTTTCATAGTGTTTATTAATTATAGAAAGTAACAAAACAATGATTTCTCTGTTCAGCCAGGCCGGAGGAGAGATCGGCTGTAAGGCTCGGATATTTTTAGCTGCTGAAAGTGCGCCCAGGAATACTGTTATCATCGGCATACATGTTCACAGTTGATCTGAGAATGTTCATAGGTAGATCGTTAAAAAACCCAGAAAGCATTGTACTTGACAAAATAACATTTAAATTCTCTTTAATAATTTGGTCTTCCTAATCGACACTCCTTTTCCTTGCTATTAAGTTTATTTTTTATTTTAAAATTACACACGGATTAAAATCGTTAACTATAAAAAAAAAAATGCGTAATATATTAAATTAAAAAAAAAATTATTTAATCAAATTCACCACAAGCAAGGCACCCGGCAGCAAGGCTTCTGAGGTTGGAGGTTGGAGATTTTGAGGAGCGTTAATAGTTGTTGTTCGGACCCCAGCTTAGTAGCACCTGTTAGGACCGCAACTATGAGCAAATAAAGACCCCCCGCAAAAAAAAACCACATAAAAGTATAGAATTAAATTTTTATAGTAAAAATACTAGCAATACATTTTATATAAAAAATTACCAATAATACATATTTATAGTAAAATTACCATAAAATACAATTTTAAAGCAAAATTACCAGGAATACATTTTATATTAAGATATACCAACTATATATATATATATATATATATATATATATATATATATATATATATATATATATATATATATAACTTTTAGATAATAAGTGCGACATTACTGTAATTATTGAACAATATAGTTCATGCCACTTTGACAGAAAATTTACCAGTAAAAAATTCGTTCATCACCATATTTGTATATGAACGCACAACTTTAAAAAATTTAAAATCAAACTCAGCGTTGCTACTGCGCGCTCCAAAAACAATAACTCATTTCCAATAGCATTTTCCGATACAACAATGCATATATTTTCGTTGTCCTCTTATTACTAAGAGAAAAAACAAGAACAACATCTATTCTATACCTGAAGATTTCTGTAGGAACAGACGAAAGCTTGTAGTAAAAATAAGAACTAATACGGCAGAAATTTATAGAAACAAGGATCTTTTCATTCATAACGGATTCGGAGGTTTTTGTATATTATTTGAATTGTTTGCGACGATGGATTTCTCGCCAATTAAATCATTAACCTTTGCATTTGTTTTTGTGTGAATAATTCATGAATTTGTAAATTGATTGCACGTTTATCGTAATATATATATATATGTGTGTGTGTGTGTAAAGTAAAATTACCAAATACATTTTATAGCAAAATGAACAACAATACATTTTATCTGTAGTTAAAGGGATATATTTGCGTTCAAAATATATTCAGTTGAAGCCATAAAATTGTTCAAAATATTTAGATTTCGGCGTTAAAAAAAAAACCCATAGATATGTTGATATACCGCTAAACAAAATCAAGCAACCAACCAAGAAACAATTGGTTACTGGGTGTGTAAGAATTTAAAAACATGTACATTACTAAGAAGTGAGACCAATAGAAGAGTAGTTAATAAGACAGTAGATAGCGATTGTTGCATTTAATTTTTTGACGGGAAAGCATAGAGTCCCCCGAGTGAAATATAAAAACAGTTTACTTACCAAAAAGAAACCCAAACTATGTAGGAGGCAGTAATTATTAATATCGGCTGCTACTTTTACACAGCAAGGTCGGTCTGTATTACGCAATGATCCATTCTTTACTTTTATGTTTCGTGTTCTTTAAGGACCAGGGCGATTATATGGTTGCAGGACAACGCAACACTGCCGACTCAACACCGCCGATGTGCGCCGGGATAACTAAAGACCGAGACAACTCAGCACCAGAAGAGCATAACTTTTTTATAACCGAATAAAAGTAATTTATTAAGGATTAAAACCTTAATAGTGAATATTTTTCTTTAAATAAGGCATTTGAAAAGGCGTTATGTAAAGTATGAGTCAGCTTTTTCTTTTTAATTATTTTTTAATAAAGTTAAAATTTGTTACATTTGCAACTGTCTTTCAACTGATTGTTTCCTTTTTCTCGGAGTTTTCAGTTTGCTTTCCTTCATCTTTCGCCATCAATTTTTCTGGTTTTATTTTTATTTTACTAATTTTTTTTTCATTTTGATTTTGTTTTACTAATTTGAAGTTTGGGGTGTGTCATTTTCATTTTCATTTTCATTTTGTTTTTCTACTTCTTTGAATTCTTAACGCTTGGAATTCGAAGAGAGAAGACGTGTTTTTCAAAGTTCTGCTGATTTCAACGGATTTTTAAGAAATGTAAAAATGTCGGATTAAGCATTAAGTAAGGTAAATACGGATTTGAATAGTAAATGGAATAATCATAATTGAATTAATAGTTCGAAACTGTAAACATTATTGTAAAGGATTTGTAATTCAAGACAGTATTTTTTCGAAGATTTGATTTCAAAGGAAAAAATGAAATTAATGTCAAACGGAGATTACAAGTTTAACAGAAAAAAGTTTGACATTAATTTTAGGAAAAAAGGAGGGAAGAAAAATGTCTCTTCCTTCTTCTTTACTGGAATGTGATCGTTGCTTTTCTTGTGGCAGCATTAATAAGCGTAAAAGTATCAGAAGTTGTTCAAATTGTCAACGGTCTTTTCATTTATCTTGCGTAGGATTGACTAGAAATGCTTCAGCGTCTCTGGTTGTTTGGAGTTGTTCATATTGTCTGTCTCTCTCGGCTCTACAAGATAGTGTGATCCATCAACATAATGAACGGACCCAAAGAGATGCCAGTGAAGTTTTGAGGGCAACCTCACTCCTTAGGAAATTCCGCAAGGTGCCTTTAAAAATCCCTAAATCTGTCAGAATCCCGGCAGCCGATGCCTTGGCTACTGCCATAGACCGGGCACTTAACTTGAACAGCTCGCTTGGCCGGGATTACCTTTTCTCTTTCGAAACACTTGTTCTCGGCATTTCTTACAATAAGGACCCTAAATCACCTGTCTCATCTATTATGAAAAATAATATTTCTTTATTCAATTCGTCTAAAATAAATGCCACCAAATTTTCTAATCTTTCTAATTCTAATAGATTTCATCCTTCATCTACAGTCGACGATTCTAAGAGACTCCGTGCCCTCATCAATGCTAAGTTGATCGAGGGTGATGTCTCAGCTGCAGTTAGAGTATTGGCTTCATCCGATACTATACTAGCTACTACACCAGAAGTTCTCACAGCTCTCCGTCGGAAACATCCTGCGCAACCATCAGATATCAGATTTGTTCAGATGGAAAAAAAAACTGATTCAAATATTGAAATCTCAAAAGAAGCAATGGTTACCGCTCTGAAGTCTTTCTCGGGAAGCAGCAGTGGAGATGTGATCGGCCTTAATTTCTGCCCACACTGCCGAAGCTGGTGAACATTTGAAAACATCCATAACAGCTCTTATTAATTCCCTTCTCCGAGCTGAGATACCCAAACATGCTCACGACTTATTATTTTCAGCCAACTTGACGGCTTTAAAAAAAAAAACAAAAAAAACGGAGGTATCCGCCCTATCTCGGTTGGTAACATTTTTCGTCGTCTCGCGGCAAAAATTGCTTGTATAGTTATTGTGAAAGAGATAGGGCATGAATTGTGACCTGTCCAGCTCGGGGTAGGCATACAGGGTGGATGTGAAGCTGCGGTTCATGCCACAAGATCATTTTTCGAGAATACATCATCTGCTTCCCCCCCCCCGTATCTTATTAAAATTGGATATGAAAAACGCTTTCAATATATCCAGAAAGGATCATGCCCTGGAAGTTTGTCATCAATAGACTCCTTCCATATTTAAACTGGCTCATCTTTCGTATAGTCATCCAAGTATGTTGATCACCTCCGATAATATTATCTCTTCTGCTACTGGAATCCAGCAAAGTGATCCACTGGGTCCGCTACTATTTGCGATAGCTGTTGACGGGGTAGCTCGTTCCATCGCCTCTCCTTTCAATATATGGTATCTTGACGATGCAACGTTGGGAGGATCCATCGAGGCCGTAGCTGCTGACCTCCGACGAGTTATCCTGCTTTATCTCTGCTTGGACTTGAGATTAACTCGTCCAAGTCAGAGATAATAAACTTGAATTATACTGCAGATGATTTCGAGGGTGCTATCTGGGATATCAGACTCATCCTTGAGGATATAAAAATAACATCTAAGGAGGAATTACACATTCTTGGTTCTCCAGTCTTTCCAATGGCCATTCGAGAGTGTTTGGATACTAAGCATGTCATTCTAACAAGAATGACTGAGAAATTGCAATTAATTGATGCACACCCAGCCCTCTTCCTCTTGAAGAACAGTTTTTCGTTATCGAGTTTTCTCTACACTCTCCGAAGTGCCTCTTGCTACCTCGAACAGGATTTCTTAAATGAGATAGATATCACAGTTAAGAGATGTGCGGAGCTAATTTGCAACGTTAATTTCGACGACACAGGGTGGAGGCAGGCAAAGCTCCCTTTGAGTTTCGTAGGCCTGGGCCTTCGATCAGCGGTAGATTTGGCCCTTCCAGCATATCTTTCTTCACTTTCGTCCAGTCACGAATTAATTGATGAGATACTTGGTGGATCGTCTCAGTCTTTCTCAGGTAGTTCTTTCGAACAAGCTTGCAGCGTCTGGGCCCAAGAATTACTTTCTATCTCACTAGACACATCAAAAAAATAAAAAAATAAAAGCTGGGATAAAATAAAATGCGAGGCCAATTTCACTAATTTGAGGCTCTCTCTGGATCAGCATCGCCTCGCCTCGCCTCGCCTGTCTACTAACTGCTTCACAACCGACTAGTGGCGCCTGGCTCAACGCAGTGCCCTCTTCATCTAGATGATGAGTGCACTCGGGTCGGAGTTGCGATCCGTCTTGGACTCAAATTATGTGAGCGTCACAGATGCAGATGTGAAGCTTCCATCGATGAGCTTGATTTTCATCCTCTCTCCTGTCGTCGTAGTGCCGGTCGCTTTCCACGGCATGCAGCAATAAACGACATCATCAGAAGAGGTTTGGATGCAGCTGGGTTCCCTTCCCAAATCGAACCCGTAGGCCTCGACCGTTGTGACGGAAAGCGGCCGGATGGCAGGTCCATTTTCCCTTTTAAAATGGGGAAGAAGTCGTTGATTTAGGATGCGACCTGTGCGGATACATTTTCGGCCGGTAATTTGATCAGGCCCGCGGTTGAGCCAGGGTTCGTCGCCCGGGACGCAGAGATAAAAAAAAAAATAGTTAAATATTCTTCTCTTGCTGATTGATTTTTTTTTTACTCCTGTGGCAGTGGAGACTTCAGGGGTTATTGGCCCTCGTTCGACGGCGTTTCTTCGGAGGATTGGCGCGATTGCGTCTCGATTAAGGGATGAGCCTCGCGAAACTGAGTGGCTCTTGCAGCGGGTCTCAATGGTTCGAGATAATGCTTTCTCCATCATTGAGGCTGGCAGAGGATAGAAAAAAAATTGTTTATAGTTACTTTGTTAAAAACTTTTTTTTCAATAAAAACGCTTATTAATAACGGAAAAAAAATTAAAGTAAATCGTAAAGAAATTTATTTTTTTTAATAAAGTATATGTACAGATAAAAAATAATTTAATAAGACATACATGTTTTTAATTACTTTTTAATAAATTAAATCGAAAAATGCAAGACAAAATGAAGCAGTTTTTCGTTTTTAATTATTTTTAATAAAGTAAATCGTAATGTAATTTATCTTTTAATAAAGGAAATTGACACATTAAAATATTTTTCGTTTATTCAATTATTTTGAATTTTTGAGTTGATGGTATTGAGTTGTCCCTTCCCGCGAACATACACTACATATCATTTGTAAGCTCTAAGCAATCCTTGTCCCTGACTATCCATGTATGTCTCTATTTTGTCATCCATTTACACAAAATCTGTTAGGTAGGTTACTCAATGTTCCACCCTGTTCCGCTTATATCTCGTGAGTGTTAAATTCTCCAAGCCACCTACCTTATTTTATGAAACAGAAATTTCAACTTCCTTGTTTTGTTTTTTTTTAAATTTCTTTCATCATTTCACCCCAAACACATTAGGAAATTAACGCATTAGAAATATTGTTACATATTTTTTCAATGTAATATTTTTTTAATCATTTCAACCCAAGCAAGACAATAAAGTTACTAAGACGTGTTACTGAGCCTGAGAGAATATGAGAAAAAGAAAATATTTTTCTTTTATTGTTCTAATAAAAGAACAGGATCTTCAAAGACAGAACATAACGATTGACATTGCATTTAAATTTTTGAAGATTAAAGTTAAATGGAAAGAAAGAAGCCAGAAGAGAGCTCCACAAGTGAGAAGTGCGAGAGAAAAAAAACTAAACCTGTTACCGTAGAACTACATATGGCGATTTCAATTGTTAAATGTGACTGAGCTGCCGTCAGTTATGTGCCATACGTGACAAACAATATAGCGATCATGTATCTTTTGATACATGACTGACGAGGCAGATTTTTTCCCTAAGTAGGTTGCCATTTGTTTCTGTGGTAGACCAGTTACCATCCAAAGCTACAGAACCCGGTCTTTCTTTCTACTTACCCATAGCTGGGAGGAGAAGAAGATGATTCTTACCTTCTCAAGGGTATTAGCATTTAAGTGAATGTAATGGATTCGACTGGAATTCGAACTCGACTCTCCGATTCCTCAATCCAAGCCTCTATCCATTACGCCAGCGTAATAACATTTTTGTTCGCTATATTCCCTCAAAATCTCTCATTATTCATATGTTCAGCATTTTTCTATAGAAATATATCTCTGTTGCTTGATGTAACGTCTTATTTACAAAAAAATGTCCAGCATAAAGGAGGATTGATATTACATGGCGTATTTTTAAACAGTTTTTAAAAAAAATAAATAATGGCTATACAAAAAAAAAACAACAAAAAACAAACCTATATTGTGTTTAACTGGCCATATTTTTTTTTTGTTTTTTGAAAGACGTTTTGGAGGGAAAAAGACGTTTCAATGGCAGCTGACTGCCGGTGACTGCCTGTTGCATTTTGTAGGCAGTTTAATGATAACCCTTCAGCTGAATAACAAACAGTAAAAGAAGAGGGTAACATAAATGCTCCAGCTTCAGGAAAAATATTGGTTCTGAAAATGCTTCCACCGCAGTCCATAAATAAGTAGTCTGTGGGCTGCAATCCGGCCCTTGGACTGCGTGTTAAAACACCTGATTTAGTTATTTATTAAGCTTTAAGGCCAACGATGAAAAATGCTGAATGGAAAAATTGTATCGTATTAGTTTTCTAAAGTGTTCTCCTGAAAACACACAGACTGACACACACACACATATATATAAATGTAGACATTGAAGCCAACACCCAGAGGCTGTCTCATGCTAAACGCAATCGACAGGCCATGATTGCGTTTAGCATGAAACAGACTGTTGCCTCTAGGTGTTGACTTCAGTGTCCACTTTTATGTTTACATAAACTCTATCCCTGCTATTGAACACTTTAACCCATAAATATAGCATACCATAAAACTATATTTTATCATGCACACACACACACACACACACACACACACACACACACACACACATCTATCTATCTATCTATCTATCTGTGTGTGTGTGTGTGTGTGTGCGTGCGTGTGTGCGTGCGTGTCTGTGTCTGTGTGTATGTATATATATATAGGCATATATATATATTGTGTATTCGGGCATCAATTCGTCTTTTATACAAATTTAATTAAAGACGACTCACAAGGTACAGCGATTAAGTTTTTGTTCACTTTTTTGTGTTCATACGAGAGTTCTGTTCTGGATACAAAGTTTGTAAAAATTTTCCTAATATTGTGCATATCCGAGCACTTTCGGATATCATTTTAGCCATTATCAAGGGCCAATTTTATTTGTAAACTTTTACACACTTTATGCACATAAAAAAACACAAGAAAAATTAAATATAAAAATTAAATAAAAAATGCAGCATCTTGTCAGTCAGTATAATGGAACACACACATACACACACACACACACTCACACACGCACACTCACACACGCACACACACACGCGCACACACATACACACACACACATATATATATGTAGGAGAGACCAAATTTTAGTCAATAAACAGTACGGACATTTTGCCCAATCCAATATATATATATATATATATATATATATATATATATATATATATATATATATATATATATACGTATGTGTGTGTGTTAGAATCATATCATATATTTTGTTTTGGACTAATGTTGAGACGCCTTGTTGCTTGTGTTGACAAATACGAGTTGCTTATGATGAATAGGTATAAAATTGTGCTAAACTAATTAATAATAATCACAACCATTTAATTATAGGTCCCAAATATGATAATGTGCTGTGGGCGTAGTGTCGGTGATTTGGACTC